TTGATTTTTAACAAACGCTATAGTTGACTCCACAATAACATTTTAGTAAAGAGCCAGTAACTTTATAACTACCTGATTCTAACCACAATTGGGACTCAATGTGAAATCACTTTGTGTACATGTTCATTGTGGACAAAATTAACTCTCAGAAAATATGGCAAGATGCTTCACTTCATTCCTACCCCATATGAATTCATTTTAATATCTTCCATATGCTAAGCTCTCTGAGATCTTACCACTACTACTATTATCTCCCTTGATAATCTCCCCAACTATCTATACAACATATTAAGTTGGATGTACAATATTTAAGTTTTTACATCTAATATGAAATGCATACATTTTTTAATCTCAAATTTCCTCTCTCCACTTTTCCCCATCTCACTTAATAGTACTACCATCTATTCAGATTCCCTTAGAACTCTCACTTTCCCTTCCCCAGCCCCACATGGACATGCATCCAAAATGTTTCTAGAATCCCACTGGTTCTTTCCATCTCTTCTACAAAAAATCAAGTCCAAGCTGCCAACAGCTAGTCCTGGTCTATCTGAATATCCTTGTAACTGTTCTCCCTGAGAATACTCCATTCCAACAACCCACTCTCCTTTTACCCACTAGAATGAACTTTTAATATCACAAGTTAGATCCTGCTTACCCCACAGTGTGCTCACCATGATTCATTACATTCTAACCACCCTGACCTTTCTGTTCTTGGAAGTCACCAACCAGTGTCTCTGCATTTCTTGGGTTTTTTTTTTAGATTTTTTGGGACATATAATTAACAAATCATGTTCCATTAGTTTCAAGTGTATGACATTGTGATTAAACTTCTCTATACTTCATACTCACCACAAGTGTAAATACCACCTGTCATCATACAACACTATTAAGATACCACTGACCATATTCCCGAGGAAAGCATCAACAAAACAAAAAGGCAACCTCCGAATGGGAGAAGATTTTGCAAATGACATATCCAATAAGGGGTTAATATCCAAAATATATAAAGAACATCTACAACTCAAAACCAAAAAATTGAAATAATCTTACTGCCCAGAATGACAAATGACTTAACAATGCCTGAGCTACCCTCTGTTAAAAGGAGAATATCTAGTCTACCTACCATACATGAACCAAAATAGGAGAATGGACAGAACAATGGTTTTATGTGAACTCACGTTTATCATTGTAGTACTGAGATTCTCCAGTGGTTGGAAAGGTCCAGCAACTACAGATGGCTTTAAGACTATAAACACTTTACTATACTACTAACTATAACCTAACTATAGGTTGAACTTCCAGTGTTTCTGTGCCTGCCTCCTGAAGAAAGCACATAATTTCTTTCTCATATTTTCCAATTCATCCTCTAAATTATCAGCAGTCTCAAATTACTCTGGGATTTAACTACCAGATCTTATATTTCACCACCCAACTTCTTGACTGCTAGTGACCTTCAGTGCTTAAACTAATAATATTATAGCTTCAGTTGTATTTTGGCTGATTGGACATAATATCTCTTTAGGCCACCAGCTCTTTCCAGTCCTTCAGCAATATTCGGGCAACTTCATCTTTGGGGACCTCTCTTCAATCACAAGTCCTAAGTTCTACTTCTGTTTCAGTTCTCCTAAAAAACAGCCCACTGTGATCAGGGAGGATCTGCACATGCTTCCCTCTTCCTCAGCAATAGGTAGTACTTATTGTTCACGTATTCATTCAACATATATGTATTGAGCATTCAGTGTGGGCTTGTTCTTGGCTCCAAGTAACACAACAATGAGCATAACAGACCAAAGCTTCATTCTTACTGAGTTTACATTCTCATGCAAAGAGGACAATATTTGAAAGAATTATAATTACTAGTTCAACTTAGTAGTAATAGTAGCATCAAAAAGTTACACCAGGTTAAGCTGTAATCACTATATTTCTATACCAATTTTGTTAGTTTTAGTTTGATTAAATAACTGCATTTGGTTCAGAAAATACCAAGATTAAACGTAGATATTAAAAGTTAGGCTTTGCTTTCCTGAAGTTTCAATTGGGAAAGAGGGTAGGCAGACCATTGCCCATAATTACAAATATAAATGCCACAGTGGAAATGGTCTTCCACTTAGAACTGTACCAGGAGGCATCTACAATCTTGTTGGGGTCAATTCTCATCCATGGATATGATCACCTGGACTCTTCTTGGTGTTTCAAGAGATAAGGTAAGACTATGATCATTCCCTCTAAAATATATTCTCCCCCACCAACAGGGCTGCCTTGTACTGTTAACTGGCTCTGAGCTTCCTTGACCTTCCATGGTACCACTATATCATCTGACACTTTTTCTTTTCTACCTCTCAATGGTGTATGTACGATGCAGCCCCTCCTTGTTCTTGGCCAGAGTTAAGTCAACTGCATTTCATAATGATCTACCTGTGGCCCCTGATGAAGTGTTTCTGGGAAACCAATGTCCTGTCACCTCAGTTCATCCAGGATTTTATGAGTTTCAATACCATCCCAAGGACTGTAACATCAGGACTGAGGTAATTAGGTATCTGCCTAATTAACTAAATCTTCTTGGAGACTTTCAGCCTCACAAACTGCATGTCATGGGGTTTTTCTTAGTTTTTCCCTACTAATAAGCTAAGCTGATTTTGCCAAATGTCACCTAGGCCCTGGGAAGTAAAAGAAGGGAAGAAGGAATGGTTTCTACTTGCCAACCAGCAGTGACTAAACAGGACATAGAACTTGTCCTAAGCTTAGAGAGCAGGCTTTTTATCTCCTCCTCCTCCTCCATCTCCCCCCCCCCCCCGCTCCTCCGTCTTCTCCTCCTCCCCCACACTTTCTTCTTCTCCTCCGTCTTCCCCTCTCTCTTCTCCTCCTTCCCCTCCCCGTCCTTCTTCTTCTTCTCTTCCTCCTCTCCTCCTCCTTCTTCTTCTTTATATCAGAGGTAAACAAATTACATCCTGAAGGCCTTATCTGGCCCACCACCTATTTTTATATGGTCTGTGAGCTAAGAATAGATTTAAGTTTAAATGATTAAAAAATAACAAAAGAGGGGCACCTGGGTGGCTCAGTATGTTGAGCATCCGACTTTGGCTCAGGTCATGATCTCACGGCTTGTGGGTTCAAGCCCCACATCAGGCTCTGTGCTGACAGCTCAGAGCATGGAGCCTGCTTTGGATTCTGTGTCTCCCTCCCTCTCTGACCCTCCCCTGCACACGCTGTCTCTCTCTCTCTCTCTCTCTCTCTCAGAAATAAGTAAAAAAAAAAACAAAAAAAAACAAAAGAAGCATAACACTTTGTGACAGGTAACAAGTATATGAAATTCACATTTCAGCATCCATAAATTCAGTTTTATTGAAACATCGCCATCTCATCCTCTCCTTCATTTACTTACTGTCTCTGGCTACTCTCATACTATAATAAGGGCAGAGGCAAATCACTAGGACAGAGGTCACAGAGCCCACAAAGCCAAAAGGATTTACTATCTGGTCCTTTGTCTATCCCTGCTCTATTGTATAAATGCTAACCAAAAGGCCACAGATCCCTCTAAATTTTTATAGCCTTAAGACACAGCTAGTCTTTCCTGGCTGCAGGCAAACAGAGGAAAAGTATGGGTGGCTGACACATTTGACATCTTCAGATGACTACCCAAACCATCTCCTAACTTCTCAGCTCCCCCGCCGAAAGAATCTGGCACCCCTCTCTGGGTGGGGGTCAGGATGGGAAGAACAAGTGCATCAGTCTGAGGGGCATGGAGAGCTGGAAAGCCTCGTAGAAAACCTTGATGTGTTACCATCACACATAACTCATCTCATTCCACCCAGCCCCTGTGAAGAACACTAAAGAAAGGTCCTTTCCTACATTCAAAAACCAAGAAACAAAGACTTAGTGTCTTTTTAAAAAAAATTTTGATATTCTGTTCATTTTCTGACAAAAATCTAAGGATGTTGATGAGAGTTAGTGGCAGGATCTGGTAAGTGAGTGGGAGAGTTTCAATTATGTTAAATGAATATTGAATGTTAAATGAATATTGAGAATACACTGTTTTAAAATGCACACTCACAGCGGTAGTCTCTAGATAATGAGATTAAGTCTTTATATTGTCCATGCTACATTTTTCACATTTTCTTGAAAAAAGTTATTTCTCAAGAATATATAAACCTATTTAAAGTTCTCTTTAGAGGCACTTGGGGGGCTCAGTCAGTTAAGCAACCCACTTTGGCTCAAGTCATGATCTCGCAGTTCCTGAGTTCCAGCCCCACATCAGGCTCTATGCTGACAGCTCAGAGCCTGGAGCCTGCTTGGGATTCTGCTTGGGATTCTCTCTGCCGCTCCCCTGCTCATGCATGTGCTCTCTCTCTCTCTCTCTCTCAAAAAAACCCAAACATTTAAAATTTTTTTAAATAAATACTCTTTATAATTTGATGTATCTCTTACTCATCTACTATTCAAAGGCCACGCAACTCAAAGCTTCCTAGAATCTAGAGAAAAGTTTCTCAAGAGAGTAGGTTACAAACCTTTTTTAAAATGTTAATTTATTTATTATTTTGAGAGAGAGAGAGAGAGAGAGAGAAAGCATGTGAGCAGGGAAGGGGCAAAGAGAGAGAGGGAGAGAGAGAATCCCAACCAGGCTGTGCACTGCCAGCACAGAGCCTGACCTGGGGCTTAATCCCACCGACTCATGACCTGAGCCAAAATCAAGAGTTGGTTGCTCAACTGACTGAGCTCCCCCCCCCCGCCTCTGGCGCCCCTATAAACCATCACTTCATAATGATAGATAATAATAGCTTTGAGGCAATATGGTGCAAATTCAAGTGACAGGTGCTCCTGCCTCCTATGAGCCAAACCCTATATCAGGTGTTAACTCTTCTGGCCACTTGGGAAAAAGCCTTCTTCCCCATTGGGAAGATGCCTTTCAGTGTACATGTGTCTGCTCTTTAGAGCTGTTGACTGAACCATAAATTCCTAACAAAATCTTTAAGCCGACTTACACTCTCTCTTTGTCTCTTCAGGTCCTCCCAGGAGATCGTGTCCTTTTTGTATCTGAAATCATCTTTATGTCAAAGTTCTCAGATCTTGAAGCTTCCATACTTGTGGCCTGTATCGTCTTCCAGTGAGTCTAGAATGCCCAAGCGATTTCAAGTTCTCTCCACCATCTTTATCTGGTTAGGGGTGGGAGCACTGAGGCTGAGAAGCCAAGTTACCACGACATAATGGACCAGACCCTCGTGAGAGTTTTACATCCTGATGCCCTGTTATTCTGTGCTCTTGATCTCTCCAGTCTGCTACTTATTACCAGTGTGACGTTAGGGAAGTTATTTTATAACTCTGTGCTCAGCCTTCTCATCTTATAGGGAAGATTAAATGAGAAGATGCACATAAAGAGATTGGAATAGCCTTGCTCATAAGACGCACGCAGGACACGGTGGCCGGTGCCATCACTGTATCTTTTCATTCTCTTCAGTGTGTGCAGAGCTGCACGCAGGATGACTAGGTCTGACTTCACCATCTACCCAGAAGCTCTTAGACTGAGAAATTGGTTTGTTCTAATTATATTTAGTCTAAATTACAAATTCTGTTATTGCTTACCCAAGACCAGCTGCAAATATTAGAGGTCCTGATTCACCCACAGGGAATGGGAATACTGTGCATTGATTGGCTGGGGAGAGAAGAGAAGCTCACTAGAATACTTGTTTTGACTTTAAATGTTAAATATTTTACTGCCTCTGTGACTGGTGGGATAGGACTCCTATTGGCTCATTGAGACTCTACTTTTTACAATCATCTAAGATCATTAAGTTTTAAATTCATGATTACTCATCAGCTAATAGCAAATTTGATGGCATGTTTGAGAAGGCCTTCTTTTATATAAAGCTTACTAGGTCCAGTTCTTAAACTAATAATTCATTTTCCTTTTTAAAAAATGTATACTTTTGAGAAAGAGAGAGAATGTGAGCAGGGAAGAGGCAGAGAGAGAGGGAGACAGAAAATCCCAAGCTGGCTCCACACTGCCAGCACAGAGCCTAATGAGGGCCTCGAACTTGGAAACCTTGAGATAGATGATGACCTATGCTGAAATCAAGAGTCAAACGTTTAACCGACTGAGGTACCCAGTTGCCCCAATAATTCACTTTCTTTTTTTTTTTAATGTTTTATTTATTTCTAGGAGAGAGAGAGAGAGAGAGACAGCGTGAGCAAGGGAGGGTCAGAGAGAGAGGGAGTCACAGACTGAAATAGGCTCCAGGCTCTGAGCTGGCAGTCAGCACAGAGCCCGACGCGGGGCTCGAACCCACGAACCACGAGATCATGACCCCAGCGAAAGTCGGACGCTTAACCGACTAAGCCACCCAGGCGCCCCCACTTTCTAAAATGGGATAGGATGACAACATTTCATACTGTTTCACCCACCAGGGGATAAGGATGCTGATGCCAAAGCAGGAAAAGTAAGGGTCAAGGGCTTGGCTTCAGGACTTGCATGGATCTTAATTCCATCCTTCTCTCTTTATCCGCTTTTCCCTTCTATAGCTGTCCAACTCCTAGAGGAATAACCACAGGAAAGGATGAAAATAAACAAGGCAGCCTCAAGAAAAGATCAGGAATAGCAAATTTATGCATTGGATAGACAGTCTACAAACGGAAGGTGAGCTTACTGAAAGTAGACAGATTAATGTGTGCATGGATATTTTATAGCCACAAACAATAAGATTTTTACAGGGAAGCTGTATAAACTCCTGTGCTGCCAATTCAGGCCAGGATGGTTAACGCTTCCTTGCTTATTAGAGGTGTCGATCAATCTTTCTGGCAGCTGCTTGTCTGCCTGGCATTAACTGGCATAGTAACTGACATTAACCACGTGATTCACCCATAGAGGCTGAGGCAATAGGGGAAACATTCTTACCAAAATCAGTATGAATAGAATTTTCAATATAAATGTTTTAAAATTAATACAAAATTCATAGAATGTAGAATTTAATAAGGTAGATAATCCATGAGAATGTGCGCTCAGAAATATCTTAAACTCAGACTCTGTCCTGAAAGGATTAAATGGTTGTCAGGGAGTACATTTCCTAAATTATATGGATGTTCCTTCCCAGACAGCCGAGAAGGAATATTCTGAATGTATACATGTATATGTATTACAAACCTGAGATGTAGCTCCTCATGAAGAGAACGATCTATATGCTTGCACTTTTTAAAATATGTAAGCACTTTTTAAAATTTGGGATAGGCACCTGGGTGGCTCAGTCAGTTAAGTGTCGCACTTCAGCTCAGGTCATGATCTCATGGTTCATGAGTTCAAGTCCCGCATTAGGCTCTCTGCTGTCAGCACTGAGCCCAAGTCTGCCATGGATCCTCAGTCCCCCTCTCTCTCTGCCCCTCCCCAGCACTCTCCCGTGCTCACTGTCTCAAAAATAAACATTAAAAAAAATTTTATGGGATAGGCTACAGATGCTATTTTAAAACAGATATATACTACATTTCTCTGATATATCCCACAGACAAAAGAAGCAAAAATACTTACACCTTTAGACCTCTACAACTCCTATATTAATTTTTATTGTTAGGACACGACCCCGAACATGACCTCTTTTCTTCCTACCCTCACCATCCCTCCCTTTTGGGGCAAACAGTAGAGAGAACAACATTGGAGAGGATTCTGGTTCCTTTTGTTTTTGTAGGAAAACTATCTTCATGCGCAGTTTTGCTACTTAAACAAATCACACAGCTTGTTTCTCTCTGCCTGAGAATTTGGAAGCAGATATAGACCCCGACAGCTGTGCCCAGGACACTGCATGGGAGCAGCCGGAATCCTGTCTGAGTAGCCTATGCCTTCTCTTACATTTTTAAATGTTCTAGAGGGCTTAGTTTTGAATGGAATGGCCCTTTGTTGTTTTATGACCCCTTATTTGGAAGGGTCTGCCTCTGCTTTTAACTTCAGAAGGAATCATAATAAAATGTGCTTTCTTTTCATGGCTTATGTATTATTTCTTATCACACGGTGCTATGGTGCCTCATTATCCGTAAAACAGGTTACAGGCAAGGTGAATTTACACTGGTGGTTCAGGGCCTGTAGTTGAAGGTTAATCCTAGTTAGACTGAATAATAGAGCCTAGAAATCCAGCTAATCTATTTGGGACTCTTAAAGTAAATTAAAGAACTGCTGGAAACAAATAAAGTTAGTGTGGTGGGTGGAAAGTTTCCTATTTCAGCTCACAGGACTCCGTTCCAAAGAGAGAAAGGAGAGGAAAGACCATTGGAAATGCTTTTATTTTACTAATGGGGCTCCTGGTGGCCCACATGGAGGAAGGTTTAGTCCTAGACTATCAAAGCAGGTGCTATCAGCTAGGCCATTGACTACTAGGCCAACACGTCCAACAAGTCCACAATTAAACTAAAGTCTTTTTAGTGTGTTCTCTGAACGAAACCAGTCCTGAATTTAGGATGTGCCTTGTCTTAGGTAATATTTGGAACTCTTTCCAGAAATGATTTGTTCACTACAACAGACATAGTTCCATTTCACCCACTATCCAGGATTCCTCAAATCTTTCACTACCCATTGTCTAAATACAATGGATCAGGGGATGCCTGAGTGGCTCAGTTGGTTAAGCGTCCAACTCTCGGTTTCGGCTCAGGTCATGATCTCCTGGTTTCATGAGTTCAAGCCCTATGTCAGGCTCTGCACTGACAGCATGGAGCCTGCTTGGGATTCTCTCTCTCCCTCTCTCTCTGCCTTTCCCCCACTCTCTCTGTCTCTGTCTCTCTCAAAATAGATAAACTTCAAATACATACATACATACATACATACATACTTACTTACTGTGGATTAGAATAGAAAGGGGAGGGAAAAGATGTTTTGAGCCATGGACATAGTCATAGAGCCAAATATCCCAGGGCAGAGCAAATATTAGTCTCATACTGTATTAATTTGCTAGGACTGCCATGACAAAGTACCATAGACTGGGTGGCTTAACCAACAGAAATTTATTTTCTCACAATTCTAGAGATTAAATGTCTGAGATCAAGGTGTGGGCAGGGCTGCTTTCTCCTGAAGCCCCTTTCCTGGTCCTGTAGATGGTTATCTTCTCCCTGAATCTTCACACATGCCCTTCTGTGTGTGTGTGTGTGTATGTGTGTGTGTGTCTGTGTGTGTCTGTGTGTGTCTGTGTGTGTGTGTCCTAATCTCTTCTTATAAGGACACCAGCCATAGAGCATTAGGGGCCATCCTAACAACCTCACTTAACCTTAATCACCTCTTTAAAACTCTATCTCCAAATACAGTCAAATATATGATTGGAGTGGGGGACACAGTTCGGGCTGTAACACTTCACTGTTTGACCCCCCCTAAGGTGTATGTTCTTTTCACATGCAGAATACATTCACCCCATCCCAACAGCCCCCTAAATTTTAACCCATTCCAATAGCAACTCTAAGTACAAAATCTTAGGTAATCATCATCTAAATCAGGTGTGGATGAGACATGAGATCCATTGATCCTGAAGCAAAATTCCTCTCCAGCTTCAAACCTGTGAAACCAGTTATCTGCTTCCAAAATACAATAGTAGGGCACACATAGGATAGACACTCTGCAATAATGTGATTATAAGAATTATATATACTTGGCCTTTCAGATGATCAAAATATACTTCTTATATATATTTGAACTTCATCCGCATTTACCCACTCACAGCCCCCTAAACCTTTAGAATTTCCTGAACGATAAGGGCAATGGGAGCATCTTTTGTTATAATATTCGGTCTCTTGTCCTTGGTTCCTGAAATCCCTTCAGAGCTGGAAAAATGGAATAAGTGTCTTGTTATTCATAAAAACCCCCTAACCACCACACCCGGGTTCCTGTTAAAGAAGTGACTTGCAAAGCACAAAGGAATGGAGGTGGGTTGCCAGGGGAAACAATCATGATTATAGGATTGGGGCTTTTAGTCCCACCCCCTGAGTTCTGGGGAAGGGAGAGTGTCTGGAGGTTGAACTGATCACCAATGGCCAGGGAGTTAATCAATCATCTCTATGTAATGAAGCCTCCATAAAAAACTAAAAGGAGAGGGTTTAGAGAGCTACCAGGTTGAAGAACTAAAGTGCTTCCGTGTGCCACCTTACTGAG